GACCTCGTCTCGAAGCTGTCACCAGACAACCCCACCGTCAACATTGGTGTGCTGCAAGTCGCACACTCTATTTTCAAGAGATGGAGACCTTTGTTCCAGTCTGATGCGCTCTACACTGAAATTAACCACGTTCTTAACAAGTTCGGTACTCCGTTCCTGGCCCTGTTCGAGGTATCTTCGGATCTCTACCCAGTTTTGCTTCGGTAGGCCGAATGCTAACACACCCCAGGCACTGGATAACTATCTTGAGCAGAACAAGACCAACAAAGAGAACCTGACTCAAGGGTTTACTCAGCTCAACCTGATGGTCAAGCTGTTTTATGACCTTTCCTCCCACGATCTCCCTCCCATGTTCGAAGACAACCTCACCGGAATCTCGACAATCTTCCTCAAATACTTGACCTACGACAATCAATTACTCCATACCGACGACGATACGGAGGCTGGTCTATTAGAATATGTTCGCGCTGGAATCTTTGAGGCTTTGACTCTCTACGTGCAGAAGTACATGGATGTGTTCCAGCCTCACGTTGGACAGTTCATTGGGAGCTCATGGAACTTCCTCACCACCATCGGCCAGGAGACCAAGTATGATATTTTGGTCAGCCGAGCACTGCACTTCTTGACCTCTGTCGCAGGTATGCCCGAGCATGCCGCTTCTTTCCAGGCCGAGGAAACCTTGAGCCAGATTGTTGAAAAGGTCATTTTGCCGAATGTGAGCCTCCGTGAGTCCGACGAAGAACTCTTCGAGGACGAGCCGATTGAGTTCATTCGACGGGACTTGGAAGGGTCAGATAGCGAGACCAGACGCCGAGCTGCCACTGATTTCCTCCGCAAGCTGGCAGAGAAATTCGAAGAGCCAGTGACCCAGGTTGTCCTCAAGTATACCCAGCACTACCTGGCAGAGTATGCCAAGGATTCATCCAACTGGAAGGCCAAGGACACAGCGACGTACCTTTACTCCGCTATCGCTGCCAAGGGCACTGCGACCTCCTCGCACGGTGTCACTGCCACCAACCAGTTGGTCAGTATCACGGATTACTTCCAGCAGAACCTCGCCGCGGATCTGATCAACGAGGATGGTGTTCACCCTATCCTGAAGGTCGACGCTATCAAGTATTTGTACACTTTCCGCAGTATCATCACCAAGGAACAGTGGCAGCAGGTTCTACCTGTGCTGGTGAAGCACCTGGCGTCGTCGAACTTTGTCGTCTACACCTACGCTGCCATTGCCTTGGAGCGAGTACTTTTCCTCACCGACAGCCAAGGACAGGCAGTCATTCCACCCACTGAGATCACACCGCTTGCTAAGGATCTTCTCGAGCACATCTTCCAGCTGATTCAGAGTGATCCAGCTCCTGAAAAAGTGCAAGAGAATGAGTTCTTGATGCGTTGCGTGATGCGGGTTTTGGTTGTTATCAAGGAGGGCGTGGTGCCTTTCACGGACGTCGTCCTCCAGCGCTTCATTAATATTACCAGTATCATCAGCGCGAACCCAAGTAACCCCCGATTCTACTACTTCCACTTCGAAGCCATGGGCGCCTTCATCCGGTATGTTCCCGCATTTTTCGTTTCCAAGTGCTAGAAGCTAACGTGATATAGCTTTGCTGCTCCTGCGAATCCTGACAAGCTCGAGCAAGCGCTGTATGCGCCCTTCGCAGCTATCCTCCAGAATGATGTGCAGGGTGAGCCAAATCAAACTAAGTCGATATCTTTGATCCCTTGCTGACAAATTTCAGAATTCATGCCCTACGTTTTCCAGCTCTTCGCTGCGCTGCTCGAGGCCAACCCATCCGGCACCCTTCCCACCTACTACCAAGAGCTTATTGGCCCTATCCTGATGCCCGTTATGTGGGATTCGAAGGGAAACATCCCCGCCTTGGTCCGGCTACTTTCCTCGATCATTCCGCGTGGTTCGCAGTTCATCATTGAACACAACCAGATCGAGCCCATCCTTGGTATCTTCCAAAAACTGGTTTCTACCAAGGCCAATGAGAGCTTTGGCTTTGATCTCCTGGAGACAGTTGTTGCTAACTTCCCACCGTACGTATCACATCTTCCAAGCGCTTAATTGACGGTTACCTGACTTCCCTTCCCCTAGAACTGCCCTTGAGAACTACTTTGTCATGATTATGCAGATCATTCTTCAACGTCTGCAGAATTCCAAGACAGAGAACCTGACTCTTCGCTTTGTCCGCTTCTTCCACTTCATCTCGGCGCAGGATAACAAGGGCTACAGCGCGGACTTTATCATCCAAGTCACCGACAAGGTGCAAGAGGGGTATGTATTCTTACACAGCGTAAATTGGTCGTATGCTAATTTATGTCTAGACTCTTCACCCCCATCTATATCAACGTCATTCTTCCTGAAACCCAGAAGCTTGCCCGGCCTTTGGATCGCAAGACAGCTATCATCTCCTTCACCAAGACCCTTGCCAACTCGCAGGCCTTTGCCACTCGCTATAGCCAGAAGGGATGGGGCTTCACCTGCACGGCATTGCTCAAGCTCCTCGAGCTTCCGCCGCTGCCTGCAGCCAGGGATGATCTCATTAATGATGCAGATATCGAAGACATGTCCTTCGGTGTTGGATTTACTCCTCTGAACACCATCCGTGTCCAGCAGAAGGACCCGTGGCCCGAGACTGGTGCTGACCTCAAGGCTTGGGTGGGCTCGTACTTGAAAGAGGCCGATAGCAAGCAGAGTGGCCGTATTTCGCAATTCGCCCAGGAGCGTCTTGACGACCAGTCAAAGACCGTGCTGGCAAGTTACATTTCTTAGTGGCTTTACTATGATCTTCCCTTCCAACTCAAAAAGTTCAACCTACATGGATTTGCTTTCTCCTTCGGAGGAATAATCCTTTCCCCCACTCCCCCTATTACACCATATGCATGTTGCGATGAGACACTAGATCCATGAAATAAATGTTTGTTTGATTTTTCATTAGAAGAACATCCATGGGAATGTAAATCTCTCAAAAGTAGACGCTCAAATACCAATGCAGTAGACCTAGTATACATCCCAAAACACACACATAACAACATAAATCTCACATCATACACCCTTTCCAGACTCTTCGGAAGGTTTGGCCTCACCTCCAATTTTCGATTCAGCCTCCTTATTTTCTCCCTCCTTTACCTCATCATCCCATATTATCTCAACCTCGTCCTCTTCCTCCTCACCAACTTCCCCCTCCTTCTCTCCCTCCGCAAGTTCCCGATACTTCCTCCTCGTCTTCTTCATCTTACTAGCCTTCTTCTTCTTCGCCGCCGCAGCCTTAATCGCAACCCGACTATTATCCCCTTTCTGCAGCGCCTCGACTCTATCAGCGAGCAGCGAGCGCGCAATCTTCGCGTTCTGAGCCTGTGAGCGCGTTGCTTGGCATTTGATTACCACCCCACTGGGCTTGTGGATGATCTGGACGGCTGAGTTGGTTTTGTTCTAGGTTTTGTTAGTTCTGGTTCTTGTCTAGGAATCTGCTTGGGAATTAAAACGTACAATCTTCTGTCCGCCAGGCCCGGTGCCTTTTAGGTAGGATATTGATATGTCGGCATCGTTGATCTTGAGCCGTGGGGGGAGGGCTTTCTCGGGGATGATGGGGGTTTGGCTGAAGAGTCGCGCCGGGGCTGCTAGTATTTGGGACGATGTCCGCCAGCGTAGGCGAGATAGCATTGCGTTTGGTGTTCGTGGTGTGGTTTGTTCAAGGTTGAGGTTATTGCCGACGTTTGCGATAAGATAAGCTTGAATGGTAATTTTTTTGGCTACTTTGGGTTGTTTGCTGGTTGACTCAAGGGCTATGATCTTGGTATTTTAGATCAGTGGAGGTTCTCTTTCTAGTCTATTGGATATATTTCTGTTTTTGTTGTTTAGCAGTATGGTAGTGAGTATTATAAGCTTTCCTCACTGTAACTGGATAAATGAGATCTAGGAAGTCTGAATAGTAGAGCACTTAGTTATCCATGGACCATGCCCTTATGTATGGGCAAATCATCCTGATTAGCAAAAGGACATGAAACTGCTAGCTAGTAGTACATCTAGTTTGTTATGCTCAATATTGCTGCCAAAGTAATGTTTAGAATACATAGGTTAGTTACAGACAGATGTGTACATAAATCATATGCTATGCATAGATAATTATGCCATCCAATGTCGGGACATCTAAATTGTACAGATTGTGCATGAAACATAAAGTACTGGGTACGGTACAAACTGTCACGGCAAAACACGGAAAATACAAATGATCAGGCAATAGGGTTGGTGGCCTCAGGCCTCCGCCAAGAGAAAATTGATGCCTTTAAATTTACTTTACCTCACTCTGATTTCTCCCACCTTCCCCTTTATCGCTACATTACCGGTATCTATACATATGTACTACATACAAGTACACCTATCCAACCCGAGAAAGAATGAAATTAGAACATTGAATAAAAACCTCTAAAAATTAGAGTGCTGTAGACATACTAAAGACGACTAGCCGAGGTTTATGCTATTACTAGTGCATACTGATATTACCATATATCTCAGACCAAAACGGCATGAAATAAACAAAATATACAGCCATTTTCAGAACCAAAACAGAAGTATTTTAAGGGGAATCTTATTGAGCACAGTCCACCAAAAAGCGTGACCTCAGTCTTATCCTCTCTTCCTTACTCCTATCAACCTCAACGTCTCTGTCAACACGCTCTTCCCGATTGTAACGAATATCCCTCAATTGCCTAAGTCCCTGCGATATCTTGCGACCTTACGTCAACCCTTCCCCGCGCCGCGTTGATTTAGAACATCGTGGATCATTTTTCCCTGCACAACACCACACTCCAGCCGGGCATACATAGTGCCCGTGTCTGATACGACTGTCTCCGGGTCTATTTCCCGAGTTTGTCATTGGTGGCTCTTGCTCAGACTATAGAGAGAAAAAAAAAATTCAAACGAACGGCACCAGAAGCCGCAAGAAGCAACGAAAGACTGGAACATCCTACAATTCTCTGAATACCCCGCAAGAATGGTGGACTTCATTATCTGGGCCGTGGCTAGCCTCTTCCGCTGGATGCGGTTGAAGATCTACCAGTATGAGGTGACCTTCTCCCTCTACATGCTTACTCCGATCGAGAAGCTCATCTTCAGTATGTTGCGCCTGTTCCCCGTTCACAATACTCTTGGTACACCATGCTGACCTTTCGTTTCCTATTTAGACACGCTGCTCCTTGGCCTCATTGCCATGATCGCCATGGGCACTTACATTTACCTTCCCGACCACCTTCTCGCCATTTACGGGCGCCTTTACTACTACTGGGCCGGCGAGCGCCTGTTCAGCTCTGGTCGGTTGTCAATCAGTTCGGTCTTTGGCGAAAATGGCGTGGCCACGCAAATCGGGGATTTGATGTACGAGACGGCAAAGAACGCCGCTGCCACCTCGACCGAGCGCTTGGCTGACCTGTGAATAAAAACCCGCATAATGGTTGCAGTTGCATTCTCTATTGCCAAAAGTGAGGAGCCCTAATCCCTTTGGAGTTGCATATCGATATCGAAGGGAACCTCGTTATCACTCTTCCTGTCGGCCGGCGCTTGTTTGGAGTTCTTGTGTTCTGGGAACTTGCGGCACCCCTATGACTTGCATTGTCGGAGTGCGGCGGATTACATTATTATTAATTATTACATTCTTTTCTTGGGTCATTCACACCACACTGTATATAGATAGGGGATTGATATATCAACACCCCCTGTGGCTAATCTGACACCCCCTTTGCCCAATCTGACACCCCCTGCCTGAAATTTCAGTACCGCCTTCTAGATTGAGTAACTACCACTCAGACTTCTGCCGTATTTCTGCCTTATTTCTCCCATACCTTATTTTTTCTGCCATATATTCTGCCTACTTCTAGTTTATATAGTAAAAGAACATTCATTTTGATCAGAAAAGAATTGTGTATTCTACCTGATTCCTACTGGATTTGACCCCTTGAAGATGAAGTGACGATAAAACATTTGATGATAAAGCAATTTGATAAAGTAAGATATAATAAGAGTGACTTAATTTTGCTATGAGCTTACATACAAAGTGAAGGTACCTGCTACCTAATATCATAGTTTACTACAAAAGCGGTATACAAATTAGGAGGCGGTAAGGAGAGCTGTAGTGAGAAGCAAGTGTCGAGGCAGGTAACTCAACCAAATTAGGAAGGCGGTACTGAAAATTCAGGCAGGGGGTGTCAGATTAACTAGGCAAAAGGGGTGTTAGATTAGTTAGCCACAGGGGGTGTTGATATATCAATCCCCTATAGATATGCCTCCTTGGCAGAGTTCTGTGGTCGCTGATGCCAGCTTGTATTATCGTTGCAACGTGATCATGATTGAAGTTGATATTTTTTGCACACTTTTCTAGAATGATGTACAGCAAATGCAGATGTAAATAGTAGAAAGCAATATGATGTTGAAAACGCAACATACATATCAAATGAAAACTCCAGAACGCCCTCGATGCCCAGAGCAGAGTGTTGTACAAGTAAACCCATCATCAGCACATGTGTAACTTCCCAGCGCGATGCCAATGTTGTCCCCGGCAAATATCAATCCGCCAAAGGGAACACCAGTGGCCCTTTCGCAATGCCATTTTCTCCCCCGGGGACTTGGGCAATGAGCGCATGTTGTGTTTCAGCCCCCGTCCCCAGCTCCTCTCAATCACACCCACTAATTGCAGCCTCATTGCTGAGTCTGCATCGTCTGTGCCTGTGCCTGTGCCTCCGCCGCCCGTCTCTGCTCCCGCTTCACGGCATCCACCATGCGCATACGTGCCAATTCCTGGTCAATCTCGTCCTTGTCTAGCGGGATCTTGTGCGATTGCTCGGCAGTGGGCCAAAAGTTCTTCGTGGCGAAGCGGTCGTCGAGGTTGGTACCGAAATAGTACATCCAGCCGATCGGGAAGAGGACGTACATCCCAAACTACATGGACTCCGTTAGTCCTAAGAAGAGGCGGTGGGAGGCGGGAGGTGGGAATGCTCGCTCAGAGGACTTGAGTGTCAGATACGCACCTTGAAGACTTCGAGGTTGCCTCCCTGCAACTTGCGGAATATTTGCGACATTGTATGAGTCTGATGCGTTGCTTTTTTTTTCTCGGCGTGTTTTGGCTTCGGGTTTGCTAAGAGTGGGGTTTGAGGTTCGATGTTGTTGGTAGGATGTGCTCAATTGATTATACCGCCTGATTCCAGCAGACCGGGGCAGCGATATTGTGTAGGTTGGTGATCTTCAATCTTTAATCGCCGAGTGGTGCCATGGCCGGACCAGTCACGGGCGTGATTATTGGATTTGATCAAACAGGACAAACAGGATAAACAGAACATACATCCATGGATGCTTATTTCTGCTGACTCAGGCAGAACAAAGTAGGTTCCCGCGGGCCTCGGCTCCCCGCAAATTCGCGTGCCCAGATATCCCATAGAGACGACTGATAAATGATAGACCATTACAATCCCAGTTCAATTTGGTGACCCATTGAACGGTTTCCTTCTACAATATACAATAAAAATGTCAAACGATAGTCTCATTACCGTTGCCTACCAGGATCGCGTGGCGATCGTGACACTCAACCGGCCCGACAAGCTGAACGCTCTCAATGCCGACCTATACTACCTTCTAGGCGAGCGTTTACGCGAGATTGACTCTCGAGAGGATATCTTTATTACAGTCCTGACCGGAAAAGGTCGTTTCTTCTCTGCGTATGTCATCAACAGCCCAATCCAGCCCTAGATATCGCGAAGCCATATCCCAAAAGAAAGCTTGACAAGATCAACTATATCTAACACTCGTATCCTCTCCACAGCGGAGCCGACGTCACAAGTATACGTCCAGGCACCGACGATAGCAACTCAAACGCGCGCCGCGAGCTAGTCAAGGGCTTCGTCGCAAACAACGTCGACGTCACTCGCACCTTCTACAACCACTCTAAGATTCTCGTCGTCGCCTTGAACGGCCCTGCTGTCGGTCTCTCAGCCGCACTGGTCGCCCACGCAGACTTCATCTACGCTGCCCCACACACATTCATCCTGACACCCTTCTCCTCGCTCGGTCTCGTCGCCGAAGGCGGTGCTAGCCGCGCCTTCGTTGAGCGCCTGGGCATCGCCAAGGCGAATGAGGCGCTCCTAATGAGCAAGCGGATTACCTGTGACGAGCTGGTTTCGGCTGGCTTTGTCAATAAGGTTATTGCGCCGGAGTCTGGGGAGAAGGATGACTCTGATGGGTTCTTGAAGAAGGTGCTTGAGGAGGTTGATGATCGTCTTGGTACGCACTTGAACCAGACTAGTCTGTTAAAGATTAAGGAGCTGGTAAGGCGGCCTGAGAGGGAGCTTTTGGATCGCCAGAATGGTCTTGAGGCGTTTATGGGCCTTGAGCGCTTTATGAAGGGATTCCCGCAGGAAGAGTTCCGGAGGTTGGCGTCTGGTGAGAAGAGGCATAAGCTTTAGTTGCTTGATAGGTTTTTTGTATATAGCTACTAGAGCTTGCGGCTGTATCTCCTACTTGCTCGGGGTCATTTTTCGATATAATCATTCAGGGCGATACATATTTTGTTCTTCAAGGCGAAGGATAGAAGTAATACACACAATACTGGAGTTGTTGATATGACATAGCATATAACCTTCTCTTACACATTCTATGTAGGTAATTGACCAATGGCGACAATTATATATTGATTTCATTTATCGATAATGTGTGGATTGACCTGTAGTCCACGACAGAACCTTCGAATCCCCAGGATTCATTTCCCTGCTATAGGTAAACGCCACTAAACCAAGAATCCATGCTTTTATACCACGCAGCGTTTTGAGCCGAGATTGTTTATTCAGAGTCACTGCCAGTAGCCTGATCCTCTTGCTCCTGCTTCTTTAAGATATCCTGCCACTGGCCCATGAATTCACTCATGCCGCCAGGCCCCTGAAGCGAAGCATCGACCAGCTCCTTCGGCACCTTGTGAGCCGAATACTGAGTGGAGCTGAATGCATAAGCTTCAGGATCATCCTTTTTGATGAGCCGGAATTCCGGGAGGAAGGGGGCCTGTTCATCATCTCCTTCGGCGCCCTCGTGCTCATCTTCCGAGGCGGAAGAACCCGAATCATCTTCTGTTTCGAGCTCCTCCGCCGTGCCGGTAGAGATGATCTTACCATCAGAAAGTGATATTCTCACATACTCTTCCGCTCCATCGTCTTCTTCCTCTTGCACACCAATCGGATCCTTCATCCGGAGAATCTCCAACCAACTGTACAGCAAAGGGTCGGTACGCTGCGCCCACGGGTTGATATCAATCAACCAGACGCGCTGGTGCGGAGCGGGGATATACACGTCGAATACAAAGTTGGATTCGGGGAATGTGTCTTTGAGCTTGTCATCGAAGAATGACTGGATCCGAGACCGGAGCATATCACGCATGGGGAAGAGGAAGTCGAAGTGGTTCTGATCGCGCTGGGTTATGCACAGCAGGACACGGTTGCGCACAAAACAACGGAACTCGAGCGAAGGGTTGAAGTTGACATATTTACGGAGTACCAGAGAATACGGCACATCCGGCAGCGGTGAGTCAACGGTGGATGGCGTCGGTTCGTCGCTGGTTGTATCCGGCACGCAGCCATCAAAGGGATGATCCAAATCATGGGTGATGAAGTCACTGCTTTTCAAGAGGAGGTAGATGTCATTCGGAGAACGGCATTGGGTGTCGTTTGTGGCGGCCATGAATGTTGCATCTTTGGGAGCACTCCAGTTTAATTTCGGAGTGACGATGCCACCGAGTTCAGAGATGGTATCCTTGATCCTAGTGTGAATCTCTTGCCATGCTGTAGATGGATCGTGCTCCTCCTCGCCCGAATCGGAGAATGTGTCCAGATTATCATCGTCGGTTGGGGCAACGGCCTCGGGCGGAAGAACAATGCCGTCGGCGCGGAGGTATTCAACAAAAGGAGCAGTCAAAGGAATGACGCGCGACTTTGGGGCAAGTGTGCGGTACCTAGGACTTCGGTCAGATATGTTGGGTGTTGAGTCATATGGAAGCTTACCGCGGATGCCAGTCATGATAAGAGCAATGCAAGATATGGGAGTATGTCGTGGGAGGGAAAGGGAGGCGATCAGGGAGATCGGTGGATGATGTCTCTGCCACAGCAGCGTCTGATTCGATCAACGGCATATTGAATATAAGTTGTGTAAGGTACAAAACCGTCCGTCCAACGATGACGGATTTCCCCTCGGTGGCGGGGGACTTTTTCTGCCATCACGTGCCGATAACGATAAGACCGAGCTAGCCAGGGGTCTAAGGCTGTCAGGCATCCGTTGTCGCATGGATTACTTGTTCTCTATGAACCAACGGTCTCACCACACATCCCGCCAGCATGGCCCCTGAGGCGCCTGATCCTTCAAGCTTGAAGTCATGGCACGATGCGTTCCAATACCCCATTCCCACCGTCCGCCGCGTGGAACAGGAGCTGCGTCGGGACATCGCGAGCAATAAGGAGAAGCTCCGAGCTCTCGTGGGGTATGTGATTGATTTGCCATAGGAGCTGTTTCTTCGCTAATGTGTATATTATCCGATTATAGGACACGATATCGTGACTTAGTTGGAACGGCTGAGACGATTGTGGCTATGAACCGAGACATTCAAGGCGTGGAATCCATTCTGGCCGATGTTGGACGCCGGTGCAACCCCCGGCTTATAGAAAGGAAGCATGTTCATGTCCGGCAAATAGAAACTGGCGATGATGAGAAAGGTACGAAACCAGTCCTGGAGGAAATCAGGAACTAGTAGCTGATAATGTGGATATAGACGCAGAGAAGCACGCATTCGGAGCGCAGCTTTCTCTCCTCCACCGCTGTACAACCTCTACCAGCCGGCTTTTGCGACGTCGCGGCTCGCTCCTGCTGATTGCGAAGATTCTAGTTGTCTCGCGGTTACTGCACAAGACATTATCAAAGCATGAATCAGTCCCTCCATTCCTCGATGATCTCTGGAACCAGCTAGCGTCCCTCCGGCAGACACTTATTAAACGGATTGATAAACGCCTTGCCTCTACAAGCGCTACGGAAGACACTATCATTGAATCATTGGCCGCCTATTGCCTTGTAGAGAGCCCTTCTTCCGATGATGCGATCCATCGCTTTCACCGAGTGCGCCTGGGCATCATTGTTAACCAGTTGGATGTATCTCGTGAGAACATTCCTAGAGCCCTCCAGCTGTTCGTTCGAACACTTCAGGCTTCAAAGGTCTTGCGATCGCATCGATTCTCGGATGTGCTCATGAAACTTAAAGCTAGGCCCCTCCTCTCCGACCCAGAGATTCAGAGTCTAGATGGCCTCGAGGTTGAAGTTCTTGGCCGCTGGGTAGCTCCAGATGTGAAGAATTTCACCCCCTGGATCAAGCTCAGCGAACTAAACAGAACCCAGGGCCTGGAATCAATCAAGGAATGGTCACTCCAAGCTTTCAATAAATTCTCCGACGGCTGCCAAAAGAGCCTGGTCCACAGCACCGATTTCTCTGAGCTTCTCTCGCTCCGCACAGAGACTGTGGAACTGTGGCTATCATCCTGGGGCTCAACGATCATTCACGGCTCGGTGAATGTCCTCGAAAGTCTTCGAAATATCTTCAATAACCAGCTTGCCAGAATCCTGAATACGCAAGCACTAAGCCTAGGCGAAGTCGGTGCTCAAGTTTCATACATAATATCAGAATGGGAGAACACCGACCACAACTCCTTCGGATCTCTGTGGGATTCCGATCTCATTACCGCAGAATACACGAACGGCGCACAGGCATTCAAACGAACCGTCGTAGACAGATTATTGGGCTGTGACGAAGACGTCTCTACCGTCCTTATGAAGTATCAAGCATGGCTAGCATCAATCCAGGCAGTCAACGAATCTATCGACTCTCTACGCCGCATACGATGGACTGACATTCTCGTTGGAGGTGAAGTGGAAGATGAAGATATCGACATCACACCCCGACTCAACGAAGATGACCCCCAACACCTATCCGATTCTCTCCACTCTGCCGTTCGGGACGCATTCAGCAGTCTCCAAACATCATTCAGCAGCGCTTTCAAGTCATTCAACTCCTCGCATTCCAGCGAAAAAGCCACCTTTCTACTAAGGCTTATACGACTCGTCCGGCGAGATATCCCCGCCGGCTTTGTATCTGGAGACTTTGTCTTCTCGAGCGAAATCGTCCCTGACCTACAGAAGCTGCTTGCAACCGAAGTAGTCAGCAAGGCCGGCTCGCTGAGCTTGATCCCATCCCCAAAGTGCAACCCCCAGACAGGCAAGATCAAGACCGTGCCTGGCCGATCACTCTGGGAAGGCGAGCCTGCCATACCTGTTCAGCCCTCGGTTTCGAGCTTCAAGCTCCTGCGCCGTCTCACTTCCTCGATGGATACGTGCGGATTAGACCTCTGGGATCCGTCCACCGTGCAGGCGTTGAAGCAAGAATTGAAAACGAAACTCGAGGCGGCTATCGCATCTGCCTTGGATGATCTCGACAGCGAAAATACCCCTAGCAAGGCTGAGACCAAGGACGGCCACCCCACTGCCAATGGAGATAAGCAGAAGGAAGATAAACCGGCGGAGAAATCAGAGATCCAAAGCCCGGATCCAGATCAAGTCGCGGGCCTGCGCGACTGGAGGGTGCAGCTCTTCTTCGACGCTCTGTATCTGTCTCAGATGCTCGGCGAGCGAAATCAGCTGGCTGGTGTCGTCGAGCGTGCTCAGAAGAGCGCTGGTTCTAGTGCGGAGACTGTTAAGACTATCAAGAAGCTTGCGGCTGAGTATTGGACTCGGACGGAGCTGCTGTTTGGCCTCTTGGCAAGACAGTGAGTGGTTATCTAGAAGGATGCTGTATTTTGCCAAATGCCCGTCTATGCTTTACATTATATAATTCAACAAACAGAGGATATATACTGTACTTGAATGTAACTTTTCTGTTAGAAAATACACTGATTACATAGTACGCAGACAAAAATCCATTACAGAGTAATCAAACAAGATATCATACATTTCACTTCATACAATCGTGTCTCGTGTCTCGTCCAGCCATAAGATGGTTGAAGCCAGATATTAAGAAATTCTCCTCGTTCCACACAGATCTCCCCGGCTAACTAGCTTTTTTTTTGCTGACGGTTTTCGTTTTCAAATTTTTTTGCCGTTTTCGGTTATCGAGCCTCTGCTGAACAATCATGGAAGGGAAGAAACCCCCTTACCGGTCAGGGCTCTTCGCAATGATTTCAACTTGAGATCTAATGATTTCAATCTCGCGCTGAACAGCCCAGAGAGCGCGCTGGGCCTCACGGGCTGAGACACCGAGGTCCTCCGCCGGAACGGTCATCATACCCTCCTCAATGCCCTTAGGAGACCAGTGCTCAACGATGTACTCAAGTTGCCCATCGATCGGCAGAACACGTCCGCGAATAACGGAGAGCTCCTCTAGCTTTGC